TCTCTTAATTCATTTTTTTTTTATATTTATATATTTATACTGCTTTCCCATGGGAGAAAGATGTAGCAGTCTGCTTTTACAAAGATTTACAGCCTTGGAAAACCTACAGTTCCTCTGTCCTATAGGGTTGTTATGAGTTGGAATCAACTTGATGGTAATGGGTTTGGTTTGATATGTTGTTTTTATATAGTTCTGGAAACTTTGATCTTTATTGCTGGATACCTCAACTGTCATCAAGATAATACATATATTGTTGTTATATATATATATATACACATACACATATATTTTTTTAATGGTCAGCACTCAGCTTTTCGACTGAAAATTGTTCCTTTCTTTCAGTTCTGGATATTCTTTTGTCATTATTTCTTTATCTCCATATTTTCTATTCCTTTCATTGAAAAAAAAACACGGCCATTGAGTCATTTTCCGATTCACAGTGACCCCTCGTTGGGTTTCCAAGGCAGTATCTCTATGGAAGTAGATTGCCTAATCTTCCTTCCGAGGAGTGGTTGAGTGGGTTTGAACTGTCAGCCTTCTGGTTAGCAGTCAAATGCCTTAGGCACTATGCCACCAGAGCTCCCATTACATGGATGAAATTCACATGTATCATATTATCTCTTTTCTTTTCATGCCTTTTTTTTATGTTTGTCTGTATTCCACTAGATTTCATCGACATTATTTTATAATTCCCTAGTTGGAATCTCTAATTCTAATTTTTGCCGTGGGGGTTATAATTGGGTTTCTGATTTTTTAATTCAACAATAACATTATGAATTCCCAAAAAAAATATTTTTTTCACTGTTTTCTCTTGTATCACTGCAGTTAGTTTTTTTATTTTTTTATTTTTATTTTTGCAGTGTTTCCTCTCCTCTACTCCCACCCCTGGTAACCAACAAAGAAAGTTTCCTTCCATATATAAACCTTTCCTTGACTTCTTAAGTAATGAACTAATACAATGTTTGTTCCTTCTGTGATTGGCTTATTTCACTCAGGATAATGTCCTCCAAGCTCACCCACATTATGCAGTGTTTCACAGATTCTATGTTATTCTTTCGTGTTGCATAGTATCCCATTATGTGTAGTTTGGTTATCCATTCTTCTGTTGATGAGCACCTAGGTTTTTTTCATCTTTTTGCTATTAATAGTGCTGTGATGAACATGAGTGTGCATATATCTGTTCTTGTCCTCACGCTTACTTCTTTAGGACATATATACCTAGTAATGGGATTGCTGGATCAAATGGTATTTTCTAATTGCAACTTTTTAAGGAATTACCATAACTGCTTTCCACAGTGGTTGTATGTATCATCTTACAGTCCCACCCACAGTGTATGAGGGTCCCAATCTTTCCACATTCCTCACCAGCATTTGTTATTTTGTGTCTTGTTGAACTTTGCTATTAGTGCTGGGGCCAGATGGTATCTTGTTGTTTTGATTTGCATCTCTCTAATGGCTAATGATTGTGAATATATTTCTTCATGTGTTTGTTGGCTGCCTGAATATCTTCTTTGGTGAAGTGTCTATTCATGTCATCTGCCCATTTTTTAATTGGGTTGTTTGACTTTCTGTTGTTGAAGTGTTGGAGTTTTCTATAAATTTTAGAGATAAATCCCTGGTCAGATATGTCTTTGCCAATTTTTTTTTTCCCAATCTGTAGGTTCTCTTTTGACTCTTTTGGAGAAGTCTTTTGGAGCACATGAAAGTTTAATTTTTAGAAGGTCCCATTCATCTAGTTTATCTTCTGCTGTGTGTGCATTTTTGGGGTTATGTTTGACATCTATTTGTGCCATAAATTAGGGTTCCTAAATTTATCACAATAAATGGAGAGACGATTGAGGTTGTCAAAGAATTCACATTGCTTCATTCTACAATTGATGCCAATGGAAGCAGCAGTCAGGACATTAGACGACGGGTAGCATTGGGAAAGTCAACCGCGAAGGACCTCTTTCAAGTGCTGAGGAGCAAGGATATCTCCTTGAGGACTAAGGTGTGCCTGACAAGCCATGATATTTCCAATTGCCTCATATGCATTTGAGAGCTGGACAATGAATAAGGAAGACTGAAAAAGAGTTGATGCTTTTGAGTTGTGGTGCTGGCGAAGAATGCTGAAAGTACCATGGACTGCTAAAAGAACTAACAGATCTGTCCTGGAGGAAGTGCATCCAAAATGCTCCTTGGAAGCGAGAATGGCCAGACTTCGTCTCACCTATTTTGGTCATGTTGTCAGAAGGGACCATTTCTTGGAGAAGGATGTCATCATACTTGGTAGGGGGGTCGACAAAAGAGGGGGAGGCCTTCAACAAGATGGATTGACACAGTGGCTGCGATGATGGGCTCAAGTATAGCAGGGATCGTGGACCTGGCCTGGGATTGGGCAGTGTTTTGTTCTGCTGTGCATGGGGTTGCTATGAGTCAGAAATGACTCAACGGCACCTAACAACAACAACAACAAATTTATCCCTATTTTTTCCTTGAGGAACTTTATAGTTTTTGGTTTCACATTTAAGTATTTGATCCATCTGGAGTTAATTTTTGTGTATGGTGTGAGGTACGGATCTTGTTTCACTTTTCTGCAAATTGATACCCAGTTTTGCCAGCCCTGTTTGCTAAGGAGACCATATCTTCCCCATGTAAGGTATTTCAGCCGTTTATAAAGGATCAGCTGACCATAGGTCAATAGATCTATTTCTGGGTTCTCATTCTGTTCCACTGGTCTATGTGTGCAGTTAGGTCTTTATTTATGGTTGCAACACCTTTCAATCTATCTGAAATAAAAAATTAAATCATTTTAAAAATTAAATCATTAAATCATTTCTTCTCTTCCCTCCATTATCTATTTCCCCAGGGTGTTTGTCTTTGTACATTTTTTTTTCATTATGTTTATTTTCTTCAATGTCTTAATGTCCTTAGGGATTGTTTGAAATTTATTAATGAACTGTATTGATTGATAAATGACTTGGCATATGTCATTTTTTTATGAGTTCTGTGTCTTTACATAAATACTTTCCTGAAGGACTCTGTTTCTTGACTAAGGGGGCATATTTGGACCTTGTGTGAGTTGATGAAGCCTGTGAACTGAGTGTGAATGGGAAATAATTTAGTAGGCACACACGCATGAGTGTACACACACATAGGCACACATATCAGTGCCAAAAGGGAAAGTGGTTAATGACTTCAACCCATTCACTACCAGATTAAGCTGATAATTTCTTTGTATTCTCCCATTCATGTCTTTTGTGGTGGTCCAGAGCGACTTGATACCAGCCCCAGGTACCCACTCTGGAAATCTTCCCAAGGCAGGTAGTTTTACTTCACTGAGAACACTTTTCTTGGGTTCATATACAGCTACTGCTTGCTTTCAGTGTGAAGGGGGCTGGAGTTGAGGTAGTATGGCCCCTCACAGCAGAAAACACTTTTACAATAAGTTATCCTGGCCATTTCCCTGGAGCCCGTTTCTACACTTTGTATACTTCACTCTGAGCATGGTTTTTGTTTGTTTATGTTTTCTGGTTTTGCTTTTATATTACCAACAATGTTGTCTAATGCCATTAATTAGGCTTAGATATTCTCTACAATTAGCAAACATTTTTTTAATTTCTACTTTTTATGAATTTCTTATGATTTCTGACTATAATTAGACCACTTTGTTGATTTTCAGGGTGATTCCATATCTGCTTTTGTAAACAGAAGTATCTTCGTTTGAGTGATTTGGTTTGGAGCAGAGGAGCATGCTCAGTCTTCCTCCTGATCTATGTTTTTCTTGTACTGCCTCTTTAGCATTGTTTCCGCTTATAAATAGGAGTATGTTTTTCTTATTAATTCATACATATTCTTTGTGGGAAAGTTAGAAAATACAGAAAACCAAGATAAAAAATAAGTTTCTAAGCTCTTATGTAAAAGTTTATTATTCCATTAATATTCAGTATATTTAATTTTGAAAAAAAGTTGCTTCAATAATTGAATAGAATATTCATGTTTTATTTTTAGTAATGCTATTGTATCACAAATGCTGCTATATCTTAGAAAATCTGCAAGAAGTCTTCAGTGCAGTTCATCAGAAATGTAGTTTCCAAACACCCTTCCTGTATAAGTAAAATCAGCTTTTCCCAATATTCAGTGAATAAGAATGAAATATGTGATCCCGTCATAGGTGTTCATGAGGTGATCCAAAAAAAAAAACTGACTACTCTTCCTATTGTTTTGTAAATCGTTGTAAAATACAATAATAAATTCTGATTTTAAAACACAATGCTTTTCTCAGTAAGCTACATAATTTAAACTAGAGTGTATTTTCTCACAAACCAGAGTCCAGGACTACTATGGCATGAGTCTACTAACTTTCATCTTTTCTCTCTGCTCTTCTTTGTGTAGGAGCTCTGGTGGCATAGTGCCTAAGGCACATGACTGCTAACCAGAAGGCTGGTGGTTCAAACCCATCAGCCACTCCTCAGAAGAAAGGTTGGGCAATCTACTTTCATAGATATTGCCTTGGAAACCCAAGGAGGGGTTGCTATGAGTCAGGACTGACTTGAGAGCAGTGAACCTGATTTTTAATGTATATAAGATGACTGGGTTGGACAGGCACTATATTCCTCATCCTAATTCCATCCTGGTACCACCACGAAGTAGAATCCCACTTACACCTCATTGGACGTAATGATCAATGATCATAGTTAGTTTTTTTCAGCTCTACATACAGTATCTTGAAGTGAAATGATGATATTGTTATATTAAAGAAGAAAAGGAAAGTAGATTTTGGTAGACAGCTAGTAGTGTCTGCTTCTGAAACTAATTTCTATTATAGAGCATGACATTTGTAAGGATCAAAATAATTGAACAGTTTTTAAAGGCTATTATCAAGGCACAGGTAGACACTAACTATATGTATTTCACACAGCCATATATATGTACAAAGTATAATGTAACACATAACTGAATACATAATCATGTCTGAAAAGATATTTCTGAGTAAAAATGACTTTTATTTCTCTCATTAGCCAGGTGATACTTGTAACAATCATACAACTCATTTGGATGGTACACAGAAAGAAAAAGAGATGCCAACAGTTGTCAAAACAAGTGCTCCCATGGTAAGTTCTAGTAGGAGAACAAGAGGGAAGGATGTAAAAAGAAGCCATTTTTCAACACAATCATGAAAAACTTGCAAAAATAAATAAATAAATAAGATTGTTGGAAAACCACAGCTGTCAACATACCAACCTACATATAATTAGTTTGTAAAGAAAATATTCAGCAGTAAATAGAAACTGTCTTACTTTTCTAGGCCTGCTAAAATAAAATACCACAAATTGGGTGGCTTTAAAGAACAGAAATCTGTTATCTCACAGCTTTGCAGGCTAGAAAGTCCAAATCAGGAAATTAATAGGACCATGCTCTCTTTGTCCATTCTAGGAAAGATTCTTTCTTGAGCTTTCCAGCTTCTGTTGTTGTTGTTATGTGCCATTGAGTCAGACCCGACTCATAGCTACCCCTCCTTGGTTTTCCAAGGCAGTATCACTATGGAAATAGATTGCCCCATCTTCCTTTTGAGGAGTGGCTGGTGGGTTTGAACCGCCAGCCTTCTGGTTAGCAGCCAAGTGCCTTAGGCACTATGCTACCAGACCTGGAAATCTCTTGACATTTCTTTGTTCCTTGTAAATATATCTCCAAGTGACATTTTCCTCCTGTGTGTCTCCCTTTCCATGTTTCTTCTCCCCTTTTATAAGTTACCTTCAGAAGGGACTAGAACATACCCTACTTAACTAATACCATCTTCAATGAAAAACTGTTTGCAGGCAAGGTCATATTCATAGATACAGGGCTTAGGACTACAACATATCATTTTGGGAGACACAATTCAATCCATAATAGAACCCAAGTTGAACAGCTAAATCCACGAATAACTACATGTTCTATAAAAACAGATGTAGTGTTGATGGTGATATTAGGTGCTGTCGATTGGCTCCAACTCATAGCAACTCTATGCACAACAGAATGAAACACTGCCTGGTAGTGCACCATCCTCACAATCCTTGCTATACCTGAGCCCATCGTTGCAACCACTATGTCAATCCATCTCGTTGAGGGGCTTCCTTTAATTCGCTGACCCTCCACTTTACCAAGCATGATATCCTTCTCCATGGAATGATCCCTTCTGACAACATGACCAAAGTAGTGAGACGAAGTCTGGCCATTCTTGCTTCTAAGGTGCATTCCTGCTGTACTTCCTCCAACACAAATTTGTTGATTCTTCTGTCAGTCCATGGTACTTTCAGTATGCTTGACCAACACCACAACTCAAAAGCATCAACTCTTCTTTGGTCTACCATATTCATTGCCAATTCTCACATGAATGTGATGCAGTTGAAAATACCATGGCTTGAGTCAGGCGTACCTTAGTCTTCAAAGTGAACATCTTTGCTCTTTAAAACTTTAAAAAGTCTCTTGAAGAAGATTTGCCCAATGCAATACATCTTTTGATTTCTTGACTGCTGCTTCCGTGGGCATTGATTGTGGATTCAAGTAAAATGAAATCTTTGACAACTGCAATCTATTCTCTTATTGATCATGATGCTACTTATTGGTCCAGTTGTAAAAATTTTAGTTTTCTTTATGTTGATGTGTAATCCATGCTGATAGCTTTGATCTTTATCAGTAAGTGCTTCAAGTGATCCTCACTTTCAGCAAGCAAAGCTGTGTCATCTGCATATCTCAGGTGGTTAATGAGTCTTCTCTAATCCCAATGCCTCATTCTTCTTCACATAGTCCAGCTTCTCAGGTTATTTGCTCAGCATACAGATTGAATAAGTATAGTGAAAGGATACAACCCTGATGCACACCTTCCATGATTTTCCCTGCCTGGAAACTCAGCTCTTTGCTCCTCTCCAGCCCCACCTCTCACTATTCCCGCTCCCCAGCAACACTCAGCTTCCCTGAACTTGAACTCTTTGGGCCTTAGACCATGCAGGTTCCTCTGCTCCAACTGCCCTTCACCATACAACCAGCATCTCAAGTACAAGGGAACATACCCATGACCATATATAAGGTTGGATGATGATATTTCTACATATGTATTTGTATATGCTATTAACCCATGCAGGAGCTCTGGTGGCGTAGTGCTTAAGGCACTTCACTGCTAACTAGAAAGCTGGTGGCTCAAACCCACCAGCCATTCCTCGGAAGGAAGGTTTGGCAATCTACTTGCATAGTGATACTACCATGGAAACCCAAAGAGGGGTCATTATGAGCCGCATCCTACTCCACGGCAGTGAGGTTTTTTTTTTTTTTTTTTTAATTTACCCATGTAGTATCCCTTGTTCTAGTGACTGCCTCTTGATCTATATACACGTTCCTCGTGAGCACAATTAAGTATTCTGGAATTCCTGTTCTTCACAGTGTTAACCATAATTTGTTATGATCCACACAGTCAAATGCCTTTGCATAGTCCATGAAACAGAGGAAAACATCTTTCTGGTATTCTTTGCTTCCAATCAAGATCCATCTGACATTAGCAATGCTGTCCCTCGTTGATGAAAATCCCTACTGATAAAAACAGATAGATATCCAGAAAAACCAATGTTGGTGATTATTTCTTTTTTTTTTTTTTTTTATCAGATTCATCTTCTTTAAAATGTTTCTCTATCTTAGAAATTCTCATTGGAGTGTTAGTTCTGCTAGACTGCCTGTTAGAACAGCTGTAGGTATCCTGGGGTTTTTGTTGTTGTTGTTGCTGTGGTTAGGTACTGTCCAGTCAGGTTTGATTCATAGTGACCCTGCGTACAGCAGAATGAAACATTGCTCAGTACTGCATCATCCTCACCATTCTTGAGCCCATTGCTGCAGCCAGTGGGCTGTGTCAATCCATCTCTTTGAGGGTCTTCCCCATAGTGTGAACACCAGCTGTCTTGCTCTGATGATTCTTTTAACCCTAAGTATCCATCACTACTCCTCCTTTCCTATCCCCCTTCTTTTCTCCAGTTACCCAGAAGGCAAAATCAGGAAAGCCTGAGGAGAAACATAAAGTCTTTGTTGATTTTCTGCAGGGAAAGGCTGTTTTTTTTTTTATGGTTTATCAGAAGCCTTTTCTCACATCAATTTCCACTTGCATTCCATCTTTTCTCTCCGTTGGTGCAGCTTTTGTAATTTATTTTCCCTCTTATTTTTACATCTTTGTATTCTCTCTGCTAATTTCCTCCATGTTAGAAAGAAAAAAAAAACAGTGAATCCCAGTAATTTTTTTCTTCCCTGCTAAGAAGTCATGGTGGTGAGAGAGGTGTTTGCTTGAAGGGACATGCTATGTATTTAACCCAGATAATGTTACTCACACCTTCAGTCATTTTTCCTCATAAATTAGAAGAGACATTCATTAGTAGTCATTTCCAGAATTTTATTCATTTGTTTTCTTCCTTCATGCTGTTTTGATGGGGAGTGAGGTCAATTTTGGAAAAGAGTTTATATTGTTTAGGAATCTTTGTCTCTATCTGACCACCACTTGTTTGAATGGTGCCAAGGTTAATATTTCCTGTCTTTTAGTTATGTTGTTGATACCCTAGGTTTTAGGGGAGAGAAACTTGGTCTTCTGATTTGACTTTGCCTTTTTATAACAGAATATCCGATTGTTTGCAGCATATACCTGCTGTAACAATGGCATGGTAGGAGCGTCTGATCTCCCCTTGCTTCACAAGAGGGAGAGGGAATCACCACGAACATCAGCCCAAAGCTGATTCCTATGAAGTGGTCAGACACACCTCCTCTCTCCTTCCTTTTTACCAATTCTTACACCAGCTGTCCTTTCCGTGGCACTCTCTATTTCTCTAGTGTGTTTGATAATTCATTGCAATGGTCACATAGATCTCACAGACCATACTCAGAGTTATGGGGTTTATTAAGGAAGTAACAGGTTACAGTTCAAGATGAGGAACAACTCAGGATCAAATTCACAAGTCAGGACAGCCTCTTAGCCATGCCTGCAGGCAGGCCTTTCTCTGGCCCTCGGCTTTTCTGACCCTCAGCCCCTTGACCCAGCCTCTGCTCTGCTTGGCCAAGTGTTACAAAGCTCTTCAGCTCTGCAGAAAAGTGTGCAGGGTTACCTGACTCTTCCAGGAAGCTGCCTGCCCAAAGGCACTCAGCTCTTGTGCTCTATGAGCTGGCAAGCCTTGCTCTACCAAGTGCCCATAGCTACCCCACTCCACCAGGAAACCCCCTGCCCAAAGACTCTCAGCTAGCTCTCTTGCTCTGTGGGTCAGCACATCTATTGTATGCACTTTGCTCCGTGGGCCAGAAAGCACGCTTCACCATCAAGCACTGGTTCCTTGTTCTGCTACTGCCGTTTCTCTGCCACTGCATCTCTCTGTCTTGCACCATCTCCATTGTTACCAGTCTATCCCTTCTGGGCTTAGGAGAATCTCTTTAGGAAGTGCAGGAACCCTGGGTCCAAAGGATGTGCTCTGTTCCTGTGTCTTCTTATTGGTGGTAGTGAGATTCCTCCTTCCTGCTATGGGATGTCTCATCTTAAGCCTAGCAGGGTGGCAAAACTGTCATATCACCTCATTAAGGTTTCATACAATTGATTTGCATGGTCCCATGCCTGCAAGTATGCCATGCACCTTATTTGCATTATAAGCAAGCTATCTAGTCCCGTTGGTGGGTCACAAGCACCTCATTTGCATAGTGTTATCCAGTCATTTGGTGATAGTTGCACCATGGTGAGAAAGGTCATAGAAAAGCAATCCATCATACCACACCTACCATAAAGCCCAGCTATTTAACTCATAGGTAATATATAACTATATAAAGACTTACACACAAATGTTCGTAGCCAGTTTATTTGTAATAACTCAAAACTGAAAACAATTAAAATATTCACCCACAGTTAAATGGATAAGCAAATCATAGTATATCCAAACAATGAATAGTATTCAGCAATGAACTATTGATACTCTCAACAACATGGATGAATATCAAAATAAATAATCCATGAAAGAAGTCAGGCCAAAAATGCTTCTATTTACATAAAAAGCTAGAATATGTAAACTAATCTATAGTTAGGCAAAGAAGATCAGTGATTGCCCGGGGATCTGGGATGTTGACA